CCTCTTCTGAAAGTAGGTTTCTGGCCTTTGCTGACAATGTTGCGATCCTGCTGGCTGAAGCCCGGTGGACTAAAACAGGTTTCTGGGGCTTTGTTTAGCTTCTATATTTGTTACATAATTGCTTAGAGTTGCAGCTCAGAGGCCGACAAGGCAGGCGGGGAACGTTGCAGTCCTCCAACACTGAAGCAAGCAAGCCTCATGTTCAGTTTAAGCTGCCTGGCTGCCAGCTGCCATCTTGGCTGGAAGTTAATTTGCATATCTCGCTGATTAGCCAATGGGAAGGGTAGCGGTCGTACGCCAATTGCCATGTTTCTCTTTTATTAGATAGGATTTACCTCTCAATATATGTAATATATTATTTACAGTATGTAGAGATAAATATATTGATGTATGTATTATATATTATATTATATAGTATTAACATCCTATCTAATAAAAGAGAAACATGGTAATTAGCCATACGTCCGCTACCCTTCCCATTGGCTAATCAGGGGAAATATGCAAATTAACTGCCAGCCAAGATGGTGGCCGGCAGCCAGGCAGCTTGAAACTAACATGAGGCTTGCTTGCTTCAGTGACGGAGGACTCCAACGTTCCCCGCCTGCCGCTGCCAGCCTCTGAGCTTGTAGTTTGAAACATTGTTACAAATATAGAAGCTAAACAAAACCCCAGAAACCTGCTTTCAGCGAGCCGGGATCTCAGAGCTGGAGTTGAAACAGTGTTTCGATTATAGAACCCAAACAAACCAGATACCTGCTTTCAGCAGCTGAGGCCTAAGAGCTGGAGCCTAGCCTCGGAGCTAAAGCTGGCCCAGAATTAAAAAAAGAAAAAGAAAAAAAGGAGTGGTTGGGAGCTTCAGTCACCCGCCAGCCTGAAACAGCCATCAGCCCCTCACCCAGACTGGCCAGGCACACCAGTGGGGACCCCCACCCTGAAGGGTATGTGACCAGCTGCAAACAACCATCATCCCCTCATCCAGGCTGGCCAGGCACCCCAGTGGTGCCCCTCACCCTGATCCAGGACACCCTTCAGGGCAAACCAGCTGGCCCCCACCCGTGCACCTGGCCTCTACCCTATATAGTAAAAGGGTAATATGCCTCCCAGCACCGGGATCAGCGTGACAGGGGGCAGCGCCCAAACCCCATGATCACCCTGTGGCTCTGTGTATAACAGGGGGCGGGGCCACAACCTCCCTATCCACCCTGCTCTGTTCGTGACAGGGAAAGGCGCCCCAAACCCCTGATCAGCCCTGCTCTGTGCCTGATAGGGGGGAGCTCCCCAACCCCCTGATAGCCCTGCAGCTCTGTGTGTGACAGGCTGCGGCGCCCCAACCCCGATTGGCCGTGCTCTATGTGTGACAGGGTGTGGCACCCCAACGCCCCCCTATGGGCCCTGCTCTGTGTGTGACGGGGGCCGTCCCCCAATTCCCCTATCGGCCCTACTCTGTGAGTGACAGGGGGCTGCGCCCCACCCCCTGATTGGCCCTGCTCTGTGCATGACAGGGGGCGGCGCCCCGACTCCCCCATCGGCCCTGCTCTGAGCCCGACCAGGGGCTGCACCTAGGGATTAGGCCTGCCCTCTGCCATCCGGGCGCAGACCTCAGCCAGCAGGTCATTATCTCCCGAGGGGTCCCAGACTGTGAGAGGGCACAGGCCGGGCTGAGGGGCCCCCTCTCCCCACTGAGTCCACAAATTTTTGTGCACCGGGCCTCTAGTCCTATCTAATAAACAGGGAATATGCTAATTGGCCCTCATGCCATTGCAAAAATGGTGGCTCCCACAGCCAATAAGGAGGGAATATGCTAATTGACTGCCACACCTTCAAAGATGGCGGTGCCCACAGCCACAAGATGGCGGCGCCTAGTTCCCTCAGCCCAGCTGAGGCAGCAGGCATGCGGCAAGGCCGGGCCCGCCCCAAAGCAGGCATAGCCTTGCTGCACGTCTGCCTCCAGAATCCCCCAGTCCCCTCAACCCCCCAGACACCCAGGGTTGGTCCGAGGCTAAGGTAACCAGGGCCGGCCAAGGCTTGTGCTGCCAGCAGTAGCAGCAGCAGAGGTGTGATGGGGGCGTTGCTTTCCCCTGATCACTGGTTTGCCTCCCACCCCTGAGGGCTCCCAGACTGTGAGAGGGGGCTGGCTGGGCTGAGGGACCCCCCCCTCCAGTGCATGAATTTTCATGGACCCCTCGGGGGATGTCCAACTCCAATCCGGGATCCCTCTCACAATCCTGGACAGCTGGCTCTTAACTGCTCAACTGCCTGCCGGTCTGATTGCCCCTCACTGCCCCCTCCCACTTGCCTGATCGCCCCTCACTCTCCCTGCCGCCGCCCCCGCTGACCTGGTTGCCCCTCACTGCCCCACCCTTCTGGCCTGGTTGCCCCCAACTGTCCCCCCAACCAGCCTGGTCGCCCCACGCAGCCTGCTGTTCGGTTGTTCATCTGGTTGTTTCGGTTGTGATGGCCCCTGGCTTTTTATATATTAGGATATTAATGTAATGCATGTATTGATTATATTAACATAATATAATATGGACTGGCTGGCATAGCGCAGTGGTTGAGCTTCAATCTATGAGCCAGGAGGTCACGGTTTGATTCCCTCTCAGGGCACATGACAGGGATGTGGGCTGGATCCTCAGTAGGGGGTGTGCAGGAGAGAGCCAACCAATGATTCTCATCATTGATGTTTCTATTTCTCTCTCCCTCTCCCTTCCTCTCTGAAATCAATAAAAATATATTTTAAAAAGCATAATATAATATGTACTATATCTGAAGAGATGTACACATGTATATAATAATGTATATAGAGAAGCAAGTAACAAATAATAAAGCAAATGTAGATAAAATGCTACCCGGTAAATGAATCTGGGTAAAGATCATGAAATATTCTTTGCACTATTCTTATTCTTAAAGTTATTTTCATGAGTTTGAAATTATTTCCAACTAAACAAAAAATATATATTATAAACTTTTCTATAAGACTATAGATTTATCTTATTTTTCTATTTTTTTTACATTTTTCAATTGGTATATCATTTACATTTTTAAATGTACAGATTTTAAGGGTACACACATGTAACACCATCCAGTCAAGATATAGTACATTTTCCCAAAAAGTTCCCTAACACTTCCTTCCAGTATCTACTCAACCATACCCTAACTCAGGGGTCCTCAAACTACAGTCCGCGGGCCACATGCAAATACAAATATTGTATTTGTTCCCGTTTTGTTTTTTTACTTCAAAATAAGATATGTGCTGTGTGCATAGGAATTTGTTCATAGTTTTTTTTTAAACTATAGTCCGGCCCTCCAATGGTCTGAGGGACAGTGAACTGGCCCCCTGTTTAAAAAGTTTGAGGATCCCTGCCCTAACAGCAGCCACTGTTTGATATTCTATCTACCATAGCTTAGTGTGCCTCTTCTTAAACTTTATATTCATTCATTTATATAAAACGAATCACAGAGTATGTATTTGCTAATGTCTAATTTCTTTCTCTCAAGGGAATATTTTTGAGATTCACCCATTGCTGTTGCATGTATCAGTACTTCACTCCTTTTTAGCGCTTAATGTTATTTCATTATATGAATATGCCACACTTTCTTTTTTTAATTTATTTTTTAAAATATATTTTTATTGATTTCAGAGAGGAAGGGAGAGGGAGAGAGAGAGATAGAAACATCAATGATGAGAGGGAATCATTGATTGGCTGCCTCCTGCATGCCCCCTACTGGGGTTCGAGCCCACAATCCAGGCATGTGCCCTTGACCGGAATCGAACTCGGGACCCTTCAGTCCTCAGGCCGATGCTCTATCCACTGAGCCAAACCGGCTAAGGCAGTGGTCGGCAAACTCATTAGTCAACAGAGCCAAATATCAACAGTACAACGATTGAAATTTCTTTTGAGAGCCAAATTTTTTAAACTTAAACTATATAGGTAGGTACGTTGTTATTAACTTAATTAGGGTACTCCTAAGGCTTAGGAAGAGCCACACTAAGGAGGGCTTTAATTTATTTTTTGTTAAAGTACAGTTGACATGCAATATATTAGTTTCAGGTGTACAACATAGTGATTAGACATTAATATACCTTACCATGTGATCACCATAATAAGTCTAGTAACCATCTGTCACCAAAGTTATTATGATATTTTTGTAACTGGAAGGTTGTACCTCTTATTCCCCTTCACCTTGTTCACCAATAGGCCCAGCCCCACCCCTCTAGCATCAGTTTTTCCTCTGTATCTAAGAGTCTGTTTCTGGTTTTTGGTGGTTTTTGTTTTGTTTATTCATTCATTTTGTTTTTAGATTCCACATATAAGTGAAATATTACAGTTCTTACCTTTCTATGTCACAATTTCTTTACTCATTCACCTGCTAATGGACATTCTTGTACATGCTTTTTTGTAAGCATATGTTTTCATTTCACTTGGGTGGGTGATAAGTGAAGTATATGTTTAACTTTATAAGGAACTGCCAACTGTTTCCACTGTGCTTGTACCATACCTTACCACTTCCAATAGCTGCAAAGTATTTAACCAATTGGGTAGACTATAATTTATGTAATCATTCCCTGTTGTTTGGCATTAAGCTGTTTCCAATTACTTACTATTACAAACAATTTGGTAATGAACATCATTGTATCTGTAGCTTTGTGCACATGTATGAAAGTATCTGTAGAATAACTTTTATAGATAGGTCAAAGAGTGTTTACATTGTAATTTTTTATAAATACTGCCAATTAGTCCTTCATATCTGTTATTACCAACTTCATTTCTATCAGCAAAGTATGAAAGGGCTCTTATACCCACATCTCTGCAAAAGTTATAGGTAAAATCTTTAGTTTAATTTCCTTTTATAAGTACCACATCTTAGTTTTTATTTTCACTCTAGAGCTGCCTATATTTATGTCACCCCCATATCTTAGATCCTTATTTTCTTTCACCCATACTACTACAATTTCTCTCCATCCTTTTATTTCCTTCTACAGTCTTGGACACCCACCTTCAGAGTTATGTGACTCCAGTACCATTTACCTAAGTCAGTGATGGCAAACCTATGAGACGCGTGTCAGAGGTGACATGTGAACTCGTTTTTTTGGTTGATTTTTCTTTGTTAAATGGCATTTAAATATATAAAATAAATATCAAAAATATAAGTCTTTGTTTTACTATGGTTGCAAATATCAAAAAATTTCTATATGTGACACGGCACCAGAGTTAAGTTAGGGTTTTTCAACATGCTGACATGCCACGCTCAAAAGGTTCACCATCACTGACCTAAGTCACTCCTCAACTCAAAAACCTTCACTGGATCCCCATTGCCTACTGAATAAAATCCAGACTCTTATCCTTATATGTAAGACCTATTTCATTTATTCTACCTTTTCTTTCAAAAGACTATCCTATATATATATTACAACAAGGGGTTCCCCCCTGAACTTCACATAAAGGAAGTGTACTTCCTTCCTCCAAATCCTTACACACACTGCTTCCTCTGCCCAGATGTCCTTCTCTCCCTCTCTGCCTGTAGAATCCTACCTTCTTAAACACCCAGCTCCAGCCTGGCCAGCGTAGCTGAGGGGTTGAGTGAAGACCTATGAACCAGGAGGTCAAAGTTCAATTCCCGGTCAGGGCACAAGCCCAGGTTATGGGCTCCATGCTCAGTGCGGGGCCTGTAGGAGGCAGCCAATCAACGACCCTCTCTCCTCATTGATGTTTCTATCTCTCTCTCCCTCTCCCTTCCTCCCTGAAATCAATAAAAATATGCATTTTTTTAAAAACAGCTCCAGTGCCATCTTTTCCACTTGCCCCAACTAAATGAAGACAAGACAAAAGGTCATGCTCACCGGTACTTTCATTTTAAATTCATCTTGATAGTATTTAATTCCAATGTCAGTGATTGTCCTCTGGATAAAGCGAGATGGACGAAGGATGAATATGAGCTGCAAGTTTCCAGGAAATGCTACCTGGAAGGGTCATGAGAAGTGTCAGGGTAAATATCACATTCACTGGACTCCTCTTGCCTAAGATCACAAATGACAAAGTTAAGGTGGACACCATGGATGCCAAAGAATTTGAATATATTTCACATTTCAGAGCTAAAGAGATCTTAGAGATCAGATAATCCAAACCACTCCATAAAAAAACAAACTAAATCAAACACACAAAAAATGTTTCTGATTATAAAAACAATTCATACTCTTTATTGAAAAGTTGGGAAATAAAATTATACATTAGAAAAAGAAAACCACTTATGATCTCATAGCCATTTTTAATATTTTGACCTAATTACTTACAAGCTATTTTCTCTGCTTAAACATTTTTATCATGGTTAAACTCATATTATAGAAATATTTTGTAACCTACCCTTTTCATTAAATATTAATACCATGAGCTTTTATGCTTGATATTAAAAATTATTTAGAAATATTTTTCATGTGTGCACAATTTATTTAACTATTACTTATTGCTAGTGATTTAGACTTGTCCATATTTTTGCTATTGAAATAACACTGAAATGAACACCTTTATCCATATTTTGGAACATGCTCTTAAGATAGCTTCCTGGAAGAACTACTGAGTAAAAGGTTTAGTATTTTAGGGTTCTTGATGCATGTTATTGCCATGTTGCTTTCAGGAAGCATTGTCTTCATCTTGAGCTGAGGTCCTGAAAAATGAGGTAACTCAGATTCATAGAACAACTTAGTGGCCAAGTTAGGAATCTAACTCTTCCTTTCCTCGTGGCTTTCTATTCTTCCCGTGGTTCCCAAAAGCAACCTCCCATGGTGCTTGTTAGAAAAAAGTATCTGGCCTTTGCCCTGGAATGTTCTGATTCATTAGGACTTAAATGAAGTCCAGGTATCTGTACTGTCAATAAGTACATGAAGAGATTCTGATTGGTAGCAGGGATCCTGCACTACGGTATCTTTTATGCATACAGTGATCGATGTAATTCTTGGACAAATTAGTCTCAAATATTAGATCAGTGGTTCTCAACCTTGGCTGCACATTAGAATTACCTGGGAATCTTTTTAAAATCCTGATTTCTGGGCCTCATCCTCCAGAAATCAGGATTTTAAAAAGATTCCCGGATGATTCTAATGTGCAGCCAAGGTTGAGAACCACTGTATTAGATGATTCAAGTGTCTGCTATGGGCCCTGGGAAATCAGAACTCCTCAGAGGTCAAACCTCTGGAATAGTCATGGGCACTGTCAAGTGTCCAAATCATCAACCATCATTGTAGTTACCTCCCCAAAAAATCCTGTAACCAAAACTAAACCAACGAGGTCAAACAATCCATGCACAAAGGAAGGGAGACTTCCCTTCTCCCATGTTTGAAATGCAATGTCCTAAACAGAACCTTGCGTTTTGTTATGTCACAGCAGGAAATGAGCGGAGACACTCCTTGTGTGTGGCTGAGGCTCTACAGCAATCTGAGGGAAACGCTGTGTTCGTGCAGATCTCTGTGTGTGACTGCCTCTGCAAGCAGGCATAAGTGAGACTTCAAATGTCCCTCTCCTGTCTGGGCCTCTGTACACACATTACCACCCTGCCACATCCCATCCTCCTTGGCCAGTCCTGACTTTGGTGGAAATGCTGGCATGGTTTGCTCTGTGGTGTCTCTGCCTGCCCATGTGACTGAGTTCTCTGGTCTGAGGTCCCTACAGAGAAAGGATCCCTCTACTTGCTAAAAGGCAACAAACCGGGATAAAAATCAGACTAATAAGATAAAAAAGGAAACCCATCCAAGGTTGCACAATTTAATGCCAAAAGTAAGTACACCTTCAATCAAGCTACTTAAATATCATTTTGTCTGGCTTAGCCTGTGTCTTTCTGATATGTGAAAAAATAATTTGAATACTGAAAAGGAGACTGTTTTAAAGTGGGTGGCCCCCAAAGTAAACTCTAAGACAGGATTTGGGTATAAAGAGTTTATTGAGGAGGTGATCCCAGGCAGCACATGAGGAAGTTGGGGAGTGGGGGCGAGACAGTGATGACTAGAGAGCCAATACATCAAAACAGGGACTGCTGTGGGCAAGAAGGCTGGGAGGCCCTGGCTGGTGTGGCTCAGTTGGTTGAGTGTCATCCCCACATGCACCAAAAGGTTGCCGGTTCAATTCCGGGTCAGGGCATATGCCTGGGTTGCAGGAGGCAGCAGATCAATGTTCTGCTCTCACATCGATGTTTCTCTCTCTCAGTCCGTCTCTCTACCCCTCTCTCTCTAAAAATCAATAAAACCTTGTGTGGTTTTTGTTTGTGTGCTTTTTGTTATTGTTTTTTTTTTTGAAGGGCTGGGAGCCTCTGAGATGCTCTATGGAATATACCCCAGAAGTGTCCCACTGAAGCTGGGGTATTTATCCACCAACTTCTATGACTCAATAGCTGTAGGTCACTCCTGGGGCATTAACTTCCCAGCATTCTCTACCTACCCCTCTTCAATGACCACAGAAAGAGGTAAAGTAGAGAGACTCAGGAAGCCTCTGACATGGAAAGGAATTCTCTGCAGTGACCTCCAGGTGGCAGAGAGGATATGGGTGTGACATAACAAAGACCTTCCCAAAATTTGGCATAAAATAATCACCTTTTCCCTGTGACTTTGATATGAAATAATTTGAATAGAATATGTAAATTACTTTTATTTTAAAAAGCACAAAAATAAATATTTACAGCTATTCGTGTCAAGGATGCTTTTATGGAGCTCCACTTGTCCCTTCGTCTGTCGATAACAATGACGAACCCGATGCCGGCAGCCTCCACACTGCAAAAGAGGGTGGTCAGTGTCAGAGACCAGGTGAGACACACGGGTTCTGGGCGGTTCCTCGGGGGATGCAGTCTATAGCCTCCATGGCGCTCCAGGATCATGTGTAAACTCCCTGCAAGGGAATAACTGAGTCTGGCTCCTCTGACAAAGGAACCATCTCCTCATCCCAGCTGGCAGCCTAAACAGCACAGAGATAGCTGGTGTCTCAAACCCTCTCTGTTTCTGGCTGGCAAAGTATGAAACACCCAAGAGCACACATGCTCATGCCTGAAAGAAGATGCAAGTGTCAGTTGAATATCACATGGCCCAGTGTAGGCAGAGGACCTCAAGGCGGAGCTCTGCCATCTCCCCACTCCCCAGACTGGCATTCAGGGAGCTGTCAATGTCCTCCCTAGGAGTCATTCCGAGAGGTGCTCAGAAATAACACGGGCCAATGGGAAAAACAACTCCCTCCCAGGGCCTGGCCATAAACGGCCAGCAAACCATGTGCGTGAGACGATATCTTCATTAAGACCAAAAGGAAGCTGCTTGGTCGCCTCTTAAGACCCCACAATATTCTCACAAAATCCTCTTAAACTAAAGTCCTACAAGGGAAAACTTTTTTTCTCTCTTTGAGAGGAAGTAGAGAGGAAAGAGCAAGGGCTTTGGGGCCTGGCTCCAATCCTAGTGCTGCCACCTACTGGCAATGAGACGCTGGGGAGATCACTTACCTCTAAGGCTCAGTTTCCTCATCTGTAAAATGAGAACAGTAAAGTGGTGGAAAGCACATTTTCTGAAGCCAGACTGCCAAGGTCTGAAACCTGGGCTGCTCCCATTTATAGGCTGTGTATTTTGGAGGGGACATTACTTAGTCTCTATAGCTTCTCAGACTCCTCATTTGTAAAACAGTAATAGTACCTATCTATAGGGTTGATGTGAGGATTAAGTGAATATGTAAAATATTAAATGAGATGTATAAAATGCTCAGAACAATGCCTGGCATGTGGTAATACTGTATAAGTACTATTATTACTATTTCTTATGTGCCTGTTATGGAGAAGATAAGACATAAAGTATACAAAAAGGATCTGACCTACAATAAACCTTCAATAATTCTCTAATATTGGGAAAAGGTAAGCTTTGCTCTAAAAAGTTTCTGTAGGTGAATAAGGCAGAAGAGCTAAGCAAAATCTGTAAGAAAATGTAAGTACTTATCTGAAGTAAGCATCACTTGGCCAGCCCATTGCCACAGCCCCATACTGACCCAGCCTTTCTTATTGAGAACATTTTCCAGGAGGGGTGGGCTCACTGGGTGGGAGAGGGAGAGATTGGAGATTCTGAATGAAAAAGTGGCCAGGATTTGAGGGGGGTGGTTGTCAAGAAGAAAAACCTCAGAGAGGGAACCCCAGAAGTCTTTATGGACATTCCACTTTAATGCTTGTGACCTGTACCCCGCAAGTTTAGGTGAGACTCCAGGAGGCTGGCAGAGAATAGCTACTGCACATGTGAGAACTGATGAGAAATTCTGAAACGTGTACATTCTGGAGATAGACAACTGGTGTTTAGGCCCAGCCAGAAGAGACAGACTTTGATGAACACCCTGTATATTCAGGTGAAACTCTTACAAAGGCCACATTCTAGCATAAATGAAATACCATCAGAGTTGCCATAGGATTAAGACTATACTCTAGGAGTAAGGACAAAACAGAAGTTTTGGAGTTGCC